GTCACGTCCAGTGGCGGGATCCTCGGAGCGGCCCCCCACCTCCTCCTCTTCCGCCAGCTCCCGTCGTTCAACCGCATAGATCAACTCCTGCCCCTTTGGGCCAGTTGCCGCCAGGCTGGGACGAGGTGTACGATAAAGTCACAGAACAGCCTTTCTTCATCAATAATTCCTCGGGCCATGTCCAGTGGCGGCATCCTCGGCAGGCGCCACCTCCACCGCCTCCTCTCCCACCAGGCTGTGTTGTTCAACCGCATGGATTGCCTTCCATGAACGAGACCAAGCGCAAGCGTGATGAAGAACATGTACAGGGGCCTCCGATCCCTCTGGGCCCACGTGGGGATGGACCGGAAAGCAGCACGGCCTCCTTGGCTGTTCGAGCGCCAACCACTGCCGCACCTGTCCCGCCCAGTGTCAACGTTTCCTGTCCCACGATGCCACTAGCGATGCGTAACAGCAGTTCACGAACATTCGCTGTTTGATGACAGCGAAAATGTTCCCCCGCCTATCTCGTCCTACGCTTTCGATGAGGCTAGCAGAAATCTCAAACCCCAGTCCAATGGGAGCGCGAAGCGTCTGCCGAGTTGCATCATGGCGTTCTTGTTGTCAGCGAGCTCCGGCAGTCGCCAGCGAGAGCGAGCTTCACGACTCCAGGTAGAAGGTCCTCACCATATGCGGCAGACAGGCAATTGGGGAACTCGCGACCAAAGGGCAAGGGCGGGGCTGAATGAGATGGAATCGATTGCGGTTGGAACAGAGCGCCACGCTGCAGAGAGAAGAGAAGCAGTGCGCGCCTGACAATCAGCAGTCCGTCCCCGAAGGGATAATTATCGCTGCTACAGGCCCTTCCGAACAGACATTGGGTAGCACAATGCTGCAGGATGATGTAACCAGAAGCTGGCGCCGGGTTCATGTTCCACATATTGGTAGGCTGCACCCTCATCGACTGGATTGTATCCTTCTTTTCCTCCTAGATAGTGCTTGCTTTACCGCCCGTGCAAGTCGTGTTCAGTGGTTGGTCCTGAGTCAGTTGCCAGCGCGAACTGTACGGGCTTCCACCCTACTTGATCCGATTCTACATGATCATACTCAGTCACAATTGCTTGATATTGTGAAGAGGTTCGTATGCTTCCCGGGTTTCGCAAGTCGTGTCCCTGACGGAGGAATCAATCGCAGGCAAATCCGGCATGAAACGCGTAACGCACGGAGCCAAATACTGTTTTCGTTCATCACGCTTGGGAAAATTCGACCGCTATTCACGACCGTAGGTGATCAACAATGGTTCTACATTGCTCAGACTTCCACAGAAAAGCCGCACAACACCGTCATTCCTCTTTTTCTGCCGTATCGTTCGGTGGAACGTCACGCTACCAGCACTATGCCCACTTGGATGCGACATGGCCTACCAACCGGCTTGTCCAGCCACTTGAGATCTGGCACGACAGACCACCACCAGACGCGATATGAGCATCGGTGCGCTATCGTCACCAAAAAGTCGCTGGACTGTCCTCCAGTACAATAAAATTAAGGCTAGGGTCCAGTATGCCCAAATCTGAGAGGGCTGATGCTTTTAGTTGTGAAGTAGCAGTGCGCCCCTGTCTCCCACTATTCCGAGCCACATCTTCCGTTGATGTAATGCGTTGTATCTTTCTGATGACTGTAGGCCCATGGTCGATTGATGGATTCATCCTGCTGCCAACTACTGTGACATTGGTGTTGTAAAGTCCAGCCCTGCAGCCAGTTTCGCTGCAGAGAGTATCGGGTTCTGGCGCCATTGATCACATTTGTGGGTATAATACTGGGGGTGGGATTTGTCGGTGGGCTTGATCGATCCCTTTCGTGGCCAGTTCTCGACAGATACATCTTCCATATACGAGCCGATTGCGGGGACACTCAACAGATCGAGCTCTATCCCAGGGCATTGTTGCTTGCCGTGTCTTTGATAATATCCAACATCAACGCTTCTGCTCTGGACAAACCTGTAAACGATGCTCTCAAATTTGGTCGCGCTTCCACGTTCCTAGCGCCTGGACAACAGTCGCATGACCAAGACTTGACCTTGTTGGAGATTGGAGTCAGGGATGAATACAGGCACGTTACACGTCCCACGACCTGGAACTTCGTAGATCGTTCCGTGGGGCGAATTATGATGAAACAACAACCGAGCCTAATTAGGATGTCGCCAGGTGTCGCTTCGTGCCATGCAATCACCGACAGTCTATTCTCTGTCAAAAGCTGAACAGGCTGGTGCTCTCTGTCGTGGAGCGAGTTTGTGCTGTTGAATCGCCTTCTGCAACCCGCATAAAGATGTTCCTCTTCTCCAGCGGGGTCGAGCTCAGTCCCGATATAGTCGAGAGCAACAAAGAGCTGTCCTTCACAGTCTTGCTGAATCAAGCAGGCAGCAGTCACAGATGTCTCGTACAGAATCGAACCTGAGTTCGCAGGTTGCGTTACAGTTACCGATGCTTTGAATTGCTGAATAAGGTCGGCGATGTCAAGTTTGTCGAGTGCGAGCGCTGCGACTATGCCGTCTGTGTCACCTAAGCTGAGAACTTGAGTGTGCGACAGCAGGTGAAGGGCTAAATCGAAACACGAGATCTCATAATCGGGCAAGGGCTTTTCAATGCCAGCAAGGTTCCAGGGAAATATTCCAAGGACGCCATAGACACGATCCCGAGGATCTTCGCATGAGAAATGAGACAGATTGTCCCAGAAATATTCTAGATGTCCACGAGCGGTAGCGGCATCCCTGCGATAGACGCTCTTCATGATATCAATTTCCCTGATGAAAAGCTTATGTCCTTTGTACCATGAGTCGATGAGGCCCCATTCGTCGAACAAGGAAGCTATTTTGGCAAGTTGGTCCCAAATCGCGGTCAGATCGCCACACAAGATCTCTATCCGGTCATTGTATCGAGCACTGTGTAGCTCCTGGATGATCCACAAGCGGGACCAGTATGCACGAGTCGAGAAGTTATCCCAATGCTCTGCCATCTTGCGTCCTAACTCGGAACCATCCAACATGTCCCATTGTCCGGGATGCTCAAACTGAGACCAAAAGGGACCTCGTACAAGTGCACGGTGATCGAATGCGTCATGTGAATCTATCTCGTCGAGATGGAGGTCGAGATGCTGATAAAGTTCGTAAATCGCGTTACTGGAGGCATCGGCTGGGCCAATGCAAGCGAGGACAGTCTCCGCCGTCCGGTAGATTTCTGCCATGATAGCAACTTGTGCAGCCTTCTCCGTCAAGTTGGACTGATCGATGCATATAGAATCAATCCAAAGATACGAATCTGGGTAATGTAGTCTTGCTTGCCAAAGAGCATACCGAGCGTTCTCTCGCACTTTGACACGAGTACAATCCACAAGTTCAAAACCGTATCCTCTGGAAAAAAGAGTCATCGATGTAATGTTGACGAAAGCCTCCACATCCGGCGAACCCCAGGCGTATGAGATTGCTCGATATTCCGGCGCGTCCTCGAGATCCCATACGGATACGGTGCAGCGTATTTCGTCTTCTTCATGGCCGGCATGAATCCAGAGCAGTCGAATCTGAGAGCTTGAATCTCTCAGTGGAGGCGGCTTCCAGGCGGAGGGGGGACGGCGCGTAAGATCCATTCTGGCAGCAAGGAACCAATATGTGCTGTCTAAATACTTCGAGGGTGTGTCAACGCCATCGGATAGAGTGTCGTGTTGGTCGCGCAGCTTTCGCGGGACGGAGAGCTACAGACGGTGTGCTGAAGTGTGCCAGGCGTACGCAAGGCTGAGCTTTGCACAGCCCGCAAGCCATGCAGCCACCCGCGGAGGCGGCTTCGCGCAATACACCTGAACGAGCTCCACTGCAGGCGGCCCAGAACTCAGAGTTCGACAGCATTTGGCCTCATCATAGACGTGAGACTGGCCAGTCGCTATGGCAGGCACCGACACCTGGTCGGCGACGGCCTGAAATCGGGGAAGGCGCAAGGCGGCATCTCGCCACTTGACACCTCATCAATTCCATGCTGCCGAAATCACGCAGGACGTTGACTTGGAACTGCCGGATCCTGCGTACATCAAGCTCCGGCCAAGCTGGAAAGTCTTCGCTCTGGAACACATCGTTAACCTCGTCATGCTCGTCTCGCTGCTATCCAACGAACATGCGGCATAATTCCAGGCGTGGTGCTCCAGGAACTGCAATCTCGACCACCGCACGGCGCTTCCATTTTCTTCGGGCGGACCAGAATAACACCGGCTTTTCCTTTTCAGGGCGACAAAGATTGGCTAGCGACGGCTGAACAAATGATAGGCATATGCCATGATCAGCAATATGTCTTGGCGGCGATTATATGTAATCAACCGGCGAGTTCGTTGATGACCAACGAAGAATTTGCACCTTCCCATTTGGCTAGACCATTACTTGTTCGGTAAGCTGGAGCAATTTCGCACTCGGCCACGAGCCATTGAAAAGGATCACCCGTCATACGATGGTAGAAGATACCGATTCACGCGGATGGAATATCCCTTGGCCGGCCTTTTCATCGCTCCGGACGCTTTAGAGCTGCAGGAAATCTGCGTGTATATAAACAGTCATGGACAGATGCTTCAGTCATGGTATCTAAAGCAATACAACCTCTTTCCACTAAACCACCGCCGGCACAATGCTCAAATCACTGTACATCGCACTCTACCTCGCTGTGTGCGCATCTGCTCTAGAAGTTAGTCTACAAAAGCGTCCAAACTGTAATGCAAAGCACAGTAAAGCTGACTTCCCGATTGCTAGGGCACTTGCGGCTCCAGTACCAGACCCGGAGCTGGCATGGAGACCGTCTGTAGAGCCGGAGCTACAGAACAGGTTTGCGCGTCGGTGAGCAATTAGATGAAGCACCGGCAAAAATCATAGTGTTGACATATAGTGAAGGTCAGTCAGTGTTGGGGCGAAGGCGAACGCTGCGTGACAGGGAGAATTACGGACGCGGATGGTGCCACAAGGGCAGCTTGCTGTTCTCGAGGTGCAGCACGAGGTCTGCAAGGTTGCACGACTCCCGTATAGTTGTTAGCAACAAGTGCGAATGGAAATCGTGTTACATTTTATCTGTATACCATCCCGCCATCTCGTTCGTAGGCTGCACTGTCATGATTCCCAAGTTTGGGGAAGGATACCCCAGATAGCACAATAGTCTGTTCCTGTTGTCAAGTGATTACCTGCAATAACTTCGCTGCTCTGCAATCTGGTCGAGAATGGTGGTGTTCCCGAGAGCAGTATCTCACATTCATATTTAGCTTAGCGTATCGTTGTCAATTGTCGGATCTTTGCCGCCTTGATCACAGAGGTCTCAGATAGTACTCAAGACCAGATCTAGAGCATATTAGTCGAAGTTCAGCAACACTACACAGTCTGGCCGAATCTCAAATTTCTGCACTCGATCTTGAGTATATCAAGGCAAAGGCCATCCCTTTCACTGCGAACTTCTAATTTTCAACACTTTGCATTCACCATTCATCATGAAGTTCGGACTGTCAGTTGCAGCTGCATATCTTCTCATAGCCAGCGTGGCTTGCCAAGAAGGTCAAGTCGAGACCTATGTACGGTGACACCTTGTCGCCAAAGGGTACACAAGTCGATGAGCATTGTCTAACTCTACTGTGATATAGAACCAATGTACTACAAACGCCAACGCTGAAAACAAAGCTCTCTGGCCTCGTGGCTTCTGCGCACGAAAGAGATCTGATGACCACACCATGATCGCTGGAGCTTCATGCAATCCGGTAGGACAAAATTCTCTCGCCTTTGCCAGTTGCGTATGTGCTGTTCTGACGATGTCTGTGTTCAGGGTCATGAGTGTGTTGACCAGGACAATGGATGCATCTTCACGTCTGCGACCGAGGCCAACTGTAGCAATTGATTTGATGATGGAGCAATGACCGGAACCTCCGGCAGCTGGATATTCGAATATGATCGATTTATACTGCTACGAAGCAGTAACACTCTGTCCGTCTTAGGTCAAACGGGACATAAAGTCATGCGATTGAAGTTGTAATCGAAGTGCGGCGATGAAGTGGGTAACAATCTTGCAAAGCAGAACGCATCGCCGAGGAGCTTCCGCGAGTGATTTCTGGCCGACACTATGAACATTAAACGCATGCTCTGCAGGAATGGAAGCTTCATGTTCAATCGTTTGGGGTCGCCTGGGAGGTAGGCCGAAGGAAAGAGGATGGTCGCATACTATTCGTGCCAACAAAGTTCCTGTGTACAATTGTGCTACCACCTGCTGTCAGCTCTCCGCTGGACCGCTCATCGAGCATATATTTTGCGCCGGAACTACCACCAGAGATGTGCTTATGATGCAGAGTAGTGTCGCTGCACAACAGAGGTCATCAACAACGCGTGGCTCCTGCGCTCCAAGATCGTCCCATAACTTTCTGGCTTACTCACTCCCGGAGCGCTATGCCAAGACTGGGACGTCCTTGCTTTGAGACACGTTTTCGCCTTAAGTTTCATCTCTTGACCGAGCATACGCAAGTGTCGAACGGGCCATCACAACGTCGCCAATCTGCGGACATAAATGTCTCCTACGGGCCGTGCTATGATCGTACCTCCTTTCCAGTGCCGAGTGGGCATCATTCGGCTTTCGGCGTGACGACCCAACCGTGCCAATCTGATGCCTTCGTTTGTGCCTAGCAAGGTTTTGGCGCAACATTAGCGAAGAGTCGAAGTGGATAATATGGAGCCCACCTAAGATTCGCCTTGGTGAATGTCAATACAGTAGAGTCAGGAGAAGAACACTGGTTGTTGATTGCTGCAGTGAACATCTTGGACTCCTGTAGCCGAAGTAAGTACGGAGATGAACCAGCGCGAAGGACAATGCTCGTCGTAAAGCTCGCAACTACAAATCCAAACTATGCTTCATGTAAAATTAGATCTAACAACTCTTTGTAGCGAGAAACAAGCGCCCTTAGGCTATCAAGACATCAAGAATGGTTGCGAATGATACGAGAACGTCTGCGCGGACCTCACAGCGAGGTTCAGGTACATAGTTCACCTGGCGTACCTACAGAAATCAAGATCTTCCACATCACTTCCCGACCCAGTTTCACCCACGAAATTCCGATCAAGATGAAAAGCTTCCTTCTGGCCTCCCTCCTCGCCGGCCTCGCCGCAGCCCAAGGCGCTCAAAAGCCAAACCCATACTTCGGCGGCTGCGATTACTCTCCCATTGGCCAAAACGCCCCTTACTACAACTGCGACTGGCTACCTGGAGGTGGAAAGAGTGCCTGTGAAGGCATTGTTCCAAACTGCATGTCGCCATGCTTCCGCGCAGGATCACAAGATGACAAGTCGGGCTTCCAGATCGTCACAGAGAATGATGGCAACAGTGTTTGCCGGTGCAGATGCAAGTTGAATTAGAAGAGACGGGAGAAGGTTACTGTTGAAAGCGCATTGGATGTGGGACAGGAGGGCGTGGCAGTGCCGAAAAGTCACATCACAAACAGAGTGAAGCACGAAGTCGATGGAATGCGAACAAAAAATGGTAGGCTCCGTTCTTGAAATTCAGTGGTGAGGGACTGACTGATTCCTGCAGTATATACCATGTCAATCTTCCATCACGCACCACTGATGACTATTCGCCACACTGAAGAACGGAGTCATATGCAAGTCTGGCATATAATATCACGTATCGATTCACAGTTCAACATTCAAGTAAACAAGTGAAGTTCAATTGATTCCAGGTTCCGGATGCTGAGTCAGGCAACACCTGGTCGAGGTCACTCAGTGTTTATTGACTAAATAACGTACAGCATTTACGCTATGTATGCGCTGACAGGGTCTCAGATCAGCCCGAGTTCGTTTTCAAGCCGTGCACTGGGCACAGGACCAGTGTACGGAGCAAGAAGATCGTACCTCAAGCAATTCGAGAAGCGTCGGATGGATTTCCCCAATCAACGTCACGTTGCTGTCTACCTGGTTGAGCTGCATCGGTCACGCGCTGCCCTTTATACACACACTCGGCCTCCCATGATATCTAATCCAAGCAAAGCTTGGTATAGGGTTATGCGATGTTGCGAGAAACAACCGCCCTTCTTAACATGTTCACAAATCAAGAAGTCAGCAAAGGATGACACGAGCCTCATCTCCGCGCTGTCCGAAGTCGTTGCGGAAAACCAAGTATAAGAATCTCACCTACTATAAACAAACCTCAAACTTTTGGTCTCCTTACACCGCTACTGTCGAAACGCCCTCGCAATCACAACTCTCTCCCACATCAAAATGAAGCTCCTCTCCCTGGCCATCCTCTTCACCGCCACCGCCACAGCACGCGAATACGTCGGCAATTGCGACTACATTCCCATCGGCTTGGATGCACCTGCCAGCAATTGCGACTGGTTGTCTAATGGCGGACTGGACGCGTGCAATGCGCTTGAACCCAACTGCGCCGGGAAATGCGGCCGAAACCCGAACGAAGCATTCGAGATGACGACGGCGAACGACGACGGAGGATCGAATTGCCAGTGCATTTGCAAGCTGAAGTAGACGGAACTCGGAGAAGTGGATGGATTGATGGGAACTTCGAGTTGGAGAGTGGAATGGCAACGGGAGAGCAAATCGCAGAGTCGGACGGGATGGTACGATTTCAGCATGAGCTGGCTTGGAACGAGCATGTACTGATTGAGCTGTGGCAGTGGCTCTACGTCGATCCTCCTCTGATGCAAACATCGATTGCTGTACCTGACGATCCCTAGGTGGCTTCTCAGTCGGAGATCGGGTGTGAACTCACACATCAACATCGCCCAATTTCGCGTTTGGTCGGAGAACTAGGTTGGAAAAGCATCTTGATTTAAGACAATCGTCCCCGATGGATAGATGCTGGTGTGAGTAGCACGCCCGATATTATACGATAGTTTACGCGCGGTTTGCCTTATTCAAACCTCAGGAAATGTTACGCATTCCCACCAGGATCAACTTAGTCAGCCAGCTGGACCAGGGGCTTACCTTGCCTTTCTGCTCACCATAAGCACTCCTCTACTACCTCGCAAGACTTGCCCTTTGACGACTTCATTAGCACTTGCAATACCAACCGGTGGCATCCTCACCATTTTGGTTATTAATCACGAACGTGCTCTAGACCGCCTTCAATCCGGCATCCAAAAATGACTGAAACCGGCATTTGGCGGAACTACTAGAGCCTTGGACTCTTGGAGAGCAAAACATCTTCCATTCTTCAACGACTCCTTCCCCTCTATCTCCATCACGATCACGACAAGACCAAAATGAAGACCTTCCTCGGACTCCTCGCAGCCTCCGCGCTATCAGCCCACGTGCAAGCCGCACCTCCAAAAGAAGTCTTCTCCCACTACTGGCTTGTCGGATGGGGAGAAAATCAGCCGTTCATCCGCCAAGTGACGACAACATTGGTTCTGCCTCCAATCAACCCAACTCAAAAAGGATTTCTCAAGATCTATCCGGAATTGTGGACGGAGGAGAATGCGAGTTTGACGGGTACTGCTTTGACTTTGCTTGATGATCGGTAGGTGTACCTCTTTGCTATTGATCCGGATTTGAAATCATCACAGCGCTGACGGCTTCGATTTTCTCTGAAGATCACCGTGCTGGCCAAATGTGGTAGACTGGTGCGTATCGGCTCGGATGGTGCTAGGAAATCAGCAGAACTCCGTGATCTACAAGCCTGTGCCCATCGGCGCAGAGTTGAAGATCCAAAGTAAGTGGCTCTTCGCGGAACACAACCCTCCCTTCGGATCTATACTTACACTGCTCGCAGTCACCTACGATGATGCCACCAAAAAGCACGACCACACTCTTTCCGTGGATGGCGAGATCATCTCCCAGCTCCCAGTCACGGATGATGAATTGAACCTTGGTTTGTCTTCTCCCAATGATTTTCATGTCAGATGAGAGTAGCGCGACTAAGAATCTGCAGTTGCCGGTCGCGGCGTAGGGTTCCGTACTCAAGTCGAATGCCAGCTTGAAGTGTGTGGCAACGTCTCCAGCCATGACTACCTCAATACCACGATTGTCCTCGATTCACCAGACCCGTCTTTTGCCAAATGGAAGGAGACATTCAACACGAGAGGAGATTTGAAAACTGCTGATGGCGGTCTAACGTGGACGGTTGACAGAATTGTGGTCAACTCTGTCACATATGATCATTGAAGTCTGCGACGTTGGCGCTACAGTCGCGCAGTGTAAAGATGTAAGAGTGTCGCTCTCAATCAGTGATTAATGCTGTATTCGTAGAATCGTGTGCCCAGCTGTAACAAGAGAGGTCGCGCTGTATCAAACTTTGATCTCCAAGATCTTGCTGTCGCTTAGTCATTCATTGTGTTGCCAAGAGACTCACGCGTAACGACGCGGTCCAATTTCTTTCTTGTCACGGACACTCTCACGTCTCGATGTCTACCTCCGGTCTGCGGTGTGATGTTGATGCGACCGTGTCTCTTGTAGGACTAGATCTGATGTTTGCAGAGCAGGGTATGCCAGGAACGGATTTAAGTGGCATACCCTCTCCTCCGGATCCCTCTCGGCCGATAGATATGAGATATATGCTCGCAGCCAGCTTGATGCATAAGGGACGCAACAGCGACAAGTGAGTACTCCAGACTCTTGCACACATTCCAGAGAGCCTACGTCCCCAGCAGAATGGCTTCCAGCAAAACAGTTGTCCTGATCACAGGCGGAAATACCGGCCTGGGTCTTGAAATCGTCAAAGCCTTATACACTTCCGACAAAGCCTACAACATCGTGATTGGCAGCCGCAATATACAAAGAGGCCAAGACGCCATAACCAGTGTCAAGCAAGAAACACCTGAAAGCAAGAGCTCGCTCTCCCTAGTCCAGGTGGACATCTCCTCGGACGAGTCCATCACAGCGGCACGAGACCAAATCGCCTCCCAATTCGGCCACCTTGACGTCCTGATCAACAACGCAGGTGCGAACCACGATGCAGAATTCGATGGGAAGCTCGGCTCGCGCGAAGGATGGCTCAAGTCTTGGGACACCAACGTTGCCGGCAACATGGTGATGACCGACGAGTTCATGCCACTGCTCGTCAAGTCTACCGATCCGAGACTGCTGTTCATCGCGAGCGGGACTTCCAGCTTGGCCGACACCTTGAGAATGGATCATGCAGGCTTTGTGGCAATCAACAGTGGTCCTGAAGCTGGTTGGCCGAAGCCGCCTGCGCCATTCTCAGCTGTGATGTACAGGACTGTGAAGACGGGGTTGAATATGGCGATGCGTGAATGGAGTCGTATCTTGAGCAAAGATGGAGTGAAGGTCTGGGGTGTAAGTCCTGGATTCTTGGCCACGGGTCTTGCGGGCGTTGGACCGGAGAAGTTGAAGCAGGTGAGTTCTTGGAAATTCGCATGTCATGATGGAACAGTTGTACTGACCTCTTTCCAGATGGGTGCCCTTGAACCTTCCATCGGGGGACACTTTGTCAAGGACGTGGTAGAAGGCAAGCGTGATGACGATGTAGGAAGGGTTATTCGCAAGGACGGTATCCAGCCTTGGTGAAAAATGTTTTCTCCACTCCGGCCTCGCGTCTACAGCATGTTAGCAGGAAATCGTTTTGATACTGTTAGCAAAATTGATGCAGATCTTGTGATGTTAGACGGCGATCATTCTGACCCCATGCAAGCACCAAACTCAATTCGGGTGCGACGCGTAACATGCCACCGGGTGTCTGTCACACGAGCACCTTCCAAGATCCCCTGTTGCCTGGTTGCAAGCGCCGTGCTCGACTAGAGTCTCCATGTTGGCATGCGTCCTCGCTGAAATTCCTCTGCTGCAAATTTGCCGTTTCGGAGGCCAGCCCGGACGTGTTCGTTGCACTTGGCTGTTCAATGTTCAATGCTCAAAGTGTGTGCTCTGTCGCAATACACCACCGCTGTGGATGTTGAATTGACAATGAAGATCCGCAAGAATGATCTCTGCCTTCACAAAACGCTTCAGCTTCTTTGCGGCGTCGACCGTGTTTCTACTACTCTTCTTGGTCAGCAGAGAGCATTTACTTCCTCGTCAGCGAATCAACCGGAAATATGACGCAGGTTGGACTCCAGAACTGCCTGCTGCTGCAGGTGCAGCAGAAGCTCTGTGCCGTGAACACAACTTCAAGCCATATCGCGCTGGCGCCACGACACATCGAAAGGTCTACGACCTTTTTCTAATCTCTCTCGAACTGGACTGGCTGGAGATACGCCTCCATACCTTGGCTCCATATGTCGACTACTTCGTCATCGTCGAGTCAAACATGACCTTCACAGGTCTTGCCAAGCCACTGTACCTGCGCGAGAACTGGTCGAGGTTTCGTGATTTCCACCACAAGATCATCCACCGCGTAGTCCAAGATCCTGGACCGCGCGTTGGTAACTCGATATGGGCGCACGAAGACTTTTTCAGGAATGCCTTGCTACACAATACCTTTCCCAGCTTGATGTTCTCGGAAATGGAAGCCAAAGAGGGCGATGTGCTGATCGTCGGCGACGTTGACGAGGTCCCCAAGCCGGAAACTATTGCTGTGTTACGGAGCTGCGAGATTCCAGATCGGATGACTTTGCGAAGTCACTTCTACTACTACTCTTTTCAATGGCAGCGTGTCGGCGAACAATGGGCTCATCCTCAGGCCACCGTCTTCCACGGGTTAGCGAAAACACTCTCGCCGGTCGACTTACGCCACGGCATTGGTGGCCAACGATCACGAATACCACTCTACTCTGCTTTCATCCGGTGGTGGCATAAAATCGATCTGTGGGATGCAGCATGGCATTGCAGCTCGTGCTTCGCGACTGTGGCCGAGGTGCAATCGGAAATGGAGAGCTTCTCCCATCCGGACCTAAAGACGTTGGACGATAAGCGAGCCGACACAAGTCTCGAGCGCTTTCGTACCAAAAACAATTTGTTCGGCAGACCAGGGCAGAGATATGAAAAGATCAAGCAGAACAGAGATGTTCCTCAATATATCCTGGACAACAGCCAGCGCTTCAGCTATTCCAGATGCCGGACTCCAAAGCTAAGGCGTTGGCAGATATACAATGAGAAAATTGTGGACTCAAGGCTGTCGCGCTGGTTGTTTGAGCCTCTTACTCGTTCCGGGTTCCGGCAGAACGCTTGGAGCAGAGGCGCACCTTTAAGCGTCGTTCGTTGTACGCTCGATATGTTGCTGTGTGCTTGCATGAAAGCGATGGCAAGCAACGCATGAGGCGAGCAATGTTGGAAAGACGTGTGACGTTGTTAGTCTGGTTAGTTGCTTACCTTGTTGTATGCTGCTAAAACTTGTTCACGGACGGAGTATTGTATCAGCCAGGCAGACCGTGCGTTGCGTCGAGCACCAGGTCGACAGCCAGCATACGTGTGGGATGCCAGCTCGTTACTATCAGTGACGAGGCAGAAGACGAGTTAAAAAAGGATGAAGACTGTAGTTGTAAAGAATTTCCGAAAGCCGCCAACAAGGGCAGTAATAAAACTATTGCACCGCCACAAATGCCAAGTGCATGCGAACTCCGAGCTTCAGCCACTCTCATCAGGCAGGCGTGGTGACGTGCATACATGCAGCTGAACAGACATATATGTAAATCCATCTTTCACTTCTAGAACACAACCACAACCCCAAACTCGATCACAAACACGAGAAACCGACATGGCCGACTCCTCACCAATCAACGCGCTGTCCGGCGGCACAATCTCCAAACTCATCCTCGCTTCATTCCCTCCGGACGCATCTCCGCAGCTGCGACACGCATACGATGCCATCGCACTCGCAGCCCACTCCTCCATGCTGGCCATTGGCTTCCGACTCGTAGGACTCGGCGAAGACCACCGCATAGAAGCCACATCCGACAACGACTCTCCACAACCCTTACCGTCAGAATGGAACGCATCAAGTGGCAGCTACGCTTTCCGCTACAAGCACCGGCAAAGCAGCATGGAATACCTGGTCAAAGTCTCCCGGATGGGCAACAAAGCAATCATCATGGGAATGGGAATGGGAGACGACAAGACACATACAATCGAAGTGAAAGTCGAGGAATGGATCAGCGCTGGGAATCTACCACTCGAACTCACATCTGAGCAAGACGACGCATCGAAAGAGGAAGCCATAATTGCGAGTTTCATCAATGTGGGACGACTGAGTGATTTTGGATCTCTGATGCGGGTGAAATTGATTCAGAAGTTGATTCCAGGTGTGCAGAAGGAGGGGTATGAAGAGACACAGGAACAGACGGCAGAGGGGAGTAGGAGACAACCTGCTCCTGGGCGGGAGCGAGATGATCCACAGTATGATCCGCTGAGAGAAGAGCGCGCTCCTCCTGCCCGGCCGTATCCTTTAAATGATCCGCTTGTGCAGCCGCCGAGGAGAGGACCTTTGCCGGATCCGATGCCTGGGTTCGAGGACGAGTATGAGGTGAATCGGCCTCCAAGAGGTATGGGCCAGCCAGGTGGTGGCTTGGGGAGATATGGTGAGCGAGATTTGTATCCACAAGGGCTGGGACCAAATGACCCAATGCGTGGTGGTGTAGGGCCTGGCTTGGGCGGAGGTTTTGGCGGAGGCGGGATGCATCCTACATTCGATGATCCTCTGTTCGCTGGGCAAGGCCAACAAGGTGGTCGTGGAGGACAAGCACCGCCCGGTGCGAGATACGATGATCCATTCGGACCGGGGATGGGACATCCTCGTGGCGCTGGCATGGGTGGGAGACCGCCGAATCCATTCGGGGGATTTGGAGGTGGAGACTTCATCTAGATGTGTGGTTCCCCAGAGGTCTAAGCTGCGTGTAGGACTCAGGGGCTTGCGCTGAATGTGTGCCGAAAGTGTATGAGGATGACGAAGACGATGAGACGAATTACGGTGCACATGACTGATGAACAAAAATGGGTGCATGGAAAAATATAAACCACACACCAATCGAGATAACGTGTTCACTTTATTCTCGCAGTTCGCTCGTTCCTTCTACATGAGACTGTCAGGTCCCGACGAGTAGTCGACCTTGATTGAGGCAAAGCATCGATGTCGACAGCGATCAAGCTGCAGTCTGCAGTCTGCGATCATCTCGCACTGCCGTCCCGCTTATTTGTGTTGCGCTTGACTCCTGTCACGTCGTTTCCAGAGTCTCAGCAAAAGGCCTCAATGTAGCCCTTCGTCCTGGTCAGATACGTGCTCTAGTAATAGTCCACCCCAATCCTCGCTCTGGAGCGGAGTGCGATCCGTCAGCTCGTCACTTTGATCTACAAAGAGGTGTCAATAAGTAATTTGAAGATTTCCCGTAGATGCCACAGAACTTACGGTCTTGCCCGTCCATCCACCCATGATCCCATTCGTCATAGTCTGGCACATACTCTGATTGCCATCCGCCCCAGCCCTCGTTCTGGAACGCACCGAGAGTCTTCCACTCGAGAGGTTGTTCTACACAGAGGTGTTAATGAAAACTCTCGAGATTACCTGCAGAAATTACAGAACTTACCAGCTGGCTCGTTCATCTTCTTCCAATGTTCGTCCAAAGTCTCGAGCGGAGTCACAGTGTAAGCAAATTCGAAAGGAAAGTCCTTCGCAGACCAAAGTGGCTTGATGATCAAGGCCTTAAGCGCTGCGGAAGACACATCAGTGATCCGGTGAACCATGTCGATCGTGGTCTGGGCAAATTCTGCAACCAAGTTCGAGAAGCAGGTCGCGCGATCCGGTGGTCCATACCAGCCACTTGAAGCGTAGCTCATATAGTGCAGCCGTACCACGACCTGCGAGAACGTGTCAAGTTCAATATGCCGAATGAGCTTTCGATATTCTCCCTTGATGTTGCGAAGCCACGTGGTGCAGAATTTGGCCATTTCTTCGGGGCCTGAGCTTGAGAAGTTGAATTTGTGGCAGATGTAGTAGAGGCCAATGGAATCCGTGTAAGTTTGCTTGCAGGCGAGCACAATGCCGTTGTTTTTGTACCATTTTGGAGGACGCTTGTAACTTTGCGAGAACGATACTGTAGTGTTGAAAGCTTCCTCGTAAATCCGGTTGCGTAGTTCTGGTGGTAGTCTGAGGAAATACGATGGTCGCTTGCGGTATTGTTTCGATGCTGTGAGAGCCCTTCGCTTTGGCTTGCCTTTTCGAGTCACTGTCGCTATTGTCATCTTGAAGGCATTGTTCGGGGGAACTTGGACCAAGGACTTGGGCTGAGCGTGGGCGACAGAAAGTTGCGACAGCGATTCGGACGCCTCGTCAGTCGCTGAGGCTCTGTGCTTGACCCCATCAGTCTCGAGCGAAGGGATTGGAGCTGTCATCTTGGAATCGGTGTGTTGCACTTGCAGTGGTTGATGAAGTGTTGGTCACGCTGCCGACTAGTGCTGGAGGTGGAGGTGACTGGAAGGTTAGTGCAGATGCTGGAAGAGCCGCTGCCTAGCGCTGTTGAGTGAAAGTGAGCGCATGCCGAAGTGTGATTGCATTATTTACATGTGACTGTCAGTCTGAATCAGGAATCACTCTCGTAAATGACTCCTCACCGATGCAAAGCGTTGGAGGATCCTGTCTTCACGCTCAGGCTGCACACTACACCACGTAATTTCCAGTCCTCTAATCCCGCTGACTTGCAATACCCTGGGTTTCTACCGCTGCATTGTCACAAGCGTAGCCAAGGTGAACGCAGTGTTGCCTTTCGTGATGCATGCCACAAACTCATACTACCTCCTATCCCAAGCCTTGTTGACGAATAATGCCGAGTTCACCGGCACTCAGCTGCTCGGGATCGTGCAGAACTTTGCGCAATGTGGTTCAGAAGTGCGGCGGCAGTAATGCTGGTCGTGGGCACACACCCCCTCCACACACTGATCGACCACCTTCCAATGATCCTCAAGAGCCTGGATCGGAGCTCCGGTGTAAACAACCTCGTGAAGCTTCAGATTGCCGGGCTTAGTCTGCTTCATCATCGAAGCTTCGAGCACTCCGATGCGCATGACGAAGTGGCGATGGACAGTTTCGATCATGTGAAAGGCGGTGTCGGCGATTTTGCTCGATAGACACTCTTCACGAGTTGCTCTTCCAGCCTCCTTAAGTGCCTCTTCTTGATATTGTCCCTTCACAATATCCATCGAAAGCGTGTCGAGCTCGATGCGTTCGATCATGCCGCGGTGCTGTCTCTTCATGCCGGCGAGCCACTCGACGCAGAGCTGCATCATCCAGAAGGCGTCTGACTCTCCTGAGAACTTGAACGTGTTGCAGCTGTAGTAGAGTCCGATTGCTTCGCTGTAGGTTTGCTTGCAAGCGAGGACGATGCCATGGTTTCCTTGGCTCGCGTCAAGACGTCTGTTGAGCGGAGTGCGAGTGACTGTGGTGTCGAATGCTTCTTCGTAGATGCGATTCCGCAATTCAGGGGGCAATCTGAAGAAGATCGGCTGACTCGAGGTCTGCGGCGGGTCTTCCTTGGTTGCCATTGCGGTTGCGCTCTTGTCTGTATGACCCCCGATCAGTGCCGCGAAGTTTGTTGTCGTTGGCACGTAGTCAAAGGTGAGTCGATGGAGCAGCCCAAGAAGTACCGCGGGACTCGTGTCCCGTGGAGTGGGTCCGCGCTGCGCTCGCACCAATGATACGAACCAAGGAGTGAATCGAGGAGCCAGTGGCACGTGATATGACTCTTGTTCGCTCGAAAGGTTGGCGTTGGCGCACCCGCGCGCATCTTCTGGTGCCGTTTTGGTTGTCTTATAGTTGGCGTGCTGCGATGGACCGATCTTCATCTCTGTGGAGCGAGCGGAGGGCATGATGACTGCTGTTGCGTTCGGTGTTTGTGTCTCGGGTTGAAGTTTGAGATTAGGCGGCTGGAGGCGCTAGCGCGTTGCAAAGTGAAGTCGAATTTCCAACTGCCGCACATTGATATTGGCTAGTGACGCGTGATCGCGAAATGAACTTTGAGCCTTGCGCGGCAAGCCGTAAGAAGGTCAGCAGGGTCGAAGGAAGACTGGTCACGTTGCCACTTCAGGGGAATTCCAAATCTCGAATCTGCAGTCGTCGTAATTCTCGTCCTGGAAAGAAATGTTGTCAGGGTATCATGCCGAGCAAAGCTCATACACGCGTATTGTACAGGTCTCTGCAAGTAAGCATGAGAAAGAAAAAAACGCCACCATGCCTGCGCGTGCCATTCCTCGTCCGACCGTCCATCCTCAGGTCGAGTTCCGTCTTGCATAAAAGTTTAGGTATCATCAGAAGCACTAATACCACCTTTCACATGTTCCCCAATTCTCATATCTCATCATGGTCATACTGGGCTCACAAGAAATACTCTCCTCTCCCTTGTCTTCCGGCGGGTACGGCTCGTCGATGGTCCGGCACAGCACTGAAAATCTTGAAGTCCGGCTCCAGATCCTCTCCAAGTGTCATGATGGAGGCGACATTGCCACATCTGTAGCAATAGTTTGGTGCAGACCAGACTGTTACCACGTCTTGAGAGGCGAAATGGTATTTGTAGCCCTCGTTGACGAGTTGATGGGCACGAGCAATCAGTGATAGGCCGTTGACGTGGTTGAACTGGCGATATGTTAGCGAAAAAAATTGGGAAGAAGCATGAGCAACAATCGCACCTCGCTGGAAACTTTGTCTCCAAATAACCAACCTGCACCTCTAGGTGAAACAGCCCATGTATCGACCTCTTCAGGATCTGACCAGACAAGATCACAGAATGCGCCTTCATGTGGAATCTCCTGTGCTCGTGCCACGACGCGGATTTGGTCGAGCGTTCGGATCTCAGGTGACAAACCTCCATGCACACACAGCACTTTGCCGTCGATTATGGCTGCCAGAGCCAGAAAGTCGAATACTTGGCAGCAAGACTTCCAGACACTTGCGTTGCCATATTTCTGTTGACACTCTTCGTAGAAGCCGTAAACTTGCGTAATCTGTCGTGATTCGTGATTTCCTCGCACGAGTGTGACTTTATCTGGATACCTGTGGGCGCTGTTAGTCCATTGTCACGAATATAATTGCCAGGAGGAGTACTCACTTTGCCTTCAAACACATCAACAATGTAAAAGTCTCAAGGGAAAAGTATCCTCGGTCCACAAAATCTCCAAGGAAGACGAAGTTCTGCATTCCGTTCGCGTGATCGGCCTTCTTCGTCGTGCTCTTGCTTCGGCTTGGCCCAGGACTCCTGACACCCAGTCCAGAATCATCTGAGACATCGTCTTCGACATCGTCCCCATCATCTACGGCCTCGCCCATACTTCGACTCCGCACTCTTCCTCTCTCCTCCTCGCCTTCCTCACCAGTTTGACTCCCATCCTCACTCGCCGCAGATGTGTAAGCACTATCTCTCTGGAATCTCCTCTTCATCTTCCTCTTCACCTTTGGGTCTGTGATTTGTGTCGGAGGCTCAATATCGGCAGCACTGATGGCAGTCGTTCCAGAGGACATACTACTCCTCTTGCCCTTCTTCGTCGCCTCTCTTTCAGCCGCTGCTTTCTCGGCCGCGCGTTGGTCCACTTCGCCCGGCATTCCACCTGCTACATTGAATAGCTCCAGTAGATCGTAGAATTGGCCGTGGATATCACCGCAAACTGTGACTGGCGCTTCAACGGGCTGGATGTTCGACTCCTCCATGAGGCATTCTTTGACGATCTCACAGAGGCGTTTCATGTCGGCTTCGGGCAGGTAGCGGCACAGCTTCGCCTGCTCCAGCCATTCGTCTGGTCCGGCATGGGAAGATAGCGTCGCGGGGCCTGGTTGAGGCACATCGCTGTCCTGTTCGCGTGCCATATTGAAAGGTGTTGCTGGTCGCGAGGGGTGGGTCGTTTGGTCTCGATGAGGGCTGTATGTGGCGCTGATCCCGCAGCGCTGTGCGACGTCTGGTCGCGGTAAAGTCGCGCAATGAGTGTAGCAGTCAGAGTTCCAACCTGGCCAAGTTTCGGAGTATTGCGTTGAGGTGTACGTGATGTCCGACTCTGATCATCTGGCCCGAGTCGCAAGCACGACACGAGACCCTGCCCGCCTCGGCGGCGTGAAAGTCTTGGCGATATGCCATCACTTGTGGCCGCCTGCGACTTTCACGTTCACACACAATGTTACATTCATCTCGTGCATCTTTTCCGGTTTGCTATATGAGATAATCACATGGATGCTTGCCGTGTGCACGTATTGCCTGCTGCTGACATTCAACTCGCAATCATAGCCTTTTCGCAAGGACTATTTGGTTTCACTCTACGGTGCTATGAAGCGAAGAAAAACACGCCTCCAATCTGCAATCACTCGAACTCAACATAAACCAAGGGCGTAGTATACCCAGCAATCTCTCCTTTTTGCGCCTCATCATTTTTGGTGTACGTAATGTACATTTCATTCTTGGTTGAACTTCTCGGCACCATATCTGGATGTGCCTGGACAGAATATGCTCCGAGAGCATGATTGCCACGAGGGCCTATCTCCCATGTCAGCATCACTCCACCCTTATTCCGTACTCGGTACTCCCTTACCTGTGTAGATTTGCACAGCCTGTGACCAAGGTCCTTGGGGCTCAGGCGCAGTACAGACATACGTCTCAGCACCTGGGAAGATATCACCTCCAATCCAGGTGTAAGCATTCCAATGCTTGTTGAAGAAATACGTGCCTTGGCCTCCGGCATTCGCATTCTGGATCTCGACTCCATCTTGGCCAAGCTTTGGCATATCCCGTGTCCATTGACCGTGGACCCAGTACTCATACGCACCACGATCCTCCACTTCATGAGGTTGGACGCGAGCCAGCGCGGTCTTGTGGTCCCATTGTCCCCACAGCCAGGCATATCCATTGTGGACAAGCGTTCCGTAGGCACCGTACGCGATCTCGCCTTGCCTCCAGAATTGCTCAGCTACGATCTTGGTCTTGGGCAGACTATCTCGGCCATGGAAGCGAGAAGGATGATACTCCGTCTTGTAGAGTATGGTCGAAGGGTTCTCCGTCTCTACGCCAAGACTTTGATTGATATGAGCTGCAGGTACCCAAGTATATGCCGTAATATTCCCATCACTAGTCTCGGACGTCACGAGAGGTGGCTGATTAGGCCACAGCGCAATTCGCGTCCCATCGTCCCTGTTGCCCGCCGGCGAATGACAAAGATGTTTACCAGGCGACGGGAAAAAGCTCTCATCGTGGCCATTCTTTCCATATTGTCGGAGAACAACAGAGTTGAGTGGATCTCTGCCACGCTCGATTTTTGGCCTTCCGTCGGACTCGTAGTCGGACCAAGAAGCTGTACTGGTTATGATCGGGAGCATATTGACGCTGCCATCAGAGTTACACAACTGAGTATCGCGGTAAGTCCATAAGAGCCGATCGCCAAATCGTACAGAACCTCCGCTGTCGCGATTGAGACTTGGGTCGCCGACCAAGCCTAAGAGTTCGGGTTCACGTTTCGTTTTGGGGATGATAGGCCCAGAGCCCGGATTTGCTTGTACCGGTTGATCTTGACCTTGAGGAGGGCCGGCTGATTGTCCTTGTGGTGCGTTGGGTGGAGGATTGCCTTGAATGGGTTGCTGCTGTCCAGGATAGTTCGAAGATGAAGCCGTGCCTTGAGAGTTGCGTTTGTCTAATGCTGTATTTCAATCAGTACTTACACTTCTGGCTGACGAAGTTCATTCACATACCAGCTCGGCCTTGGTCGATGGCACTGGACAGACGCTTCTTCCATTTGTCCATGATTTACCAAATACTCGGCGTGATTCTGAGTCGTTGGATCTCTAGTGCTTGAAAATCAAGGTAGTTCCAAGGGTGTGACGTTGAGTTCTCGACTCGACAATAGTCAACAGCAGTTGCGCAACGAGATAATATAGATGGATGAGCAAGAATCCGGGCACATGCACGTTTGGAGGAGCCGCGGTCTTCAATCAATATACAGCATACGTCAGCGGGGAATGGTGACATTGGCGTACAGTAGTGGCAGAGCTTACCCAAGTTTCTCGACACCACACCTCTGGTTGATGCAATGAAGGGCCGCCGCATCTGGCAAGAGATTTCACAATAGTATTGATTCGAAGCGTGTGTGATTCTGACTCTGCCTGAATTGCTCTACTCTACATAAGTGTCACGCACACCAGATACCTGCTATCCCCTACAATGTCTTCAAGTATGCTCTGAACTTGCACGGGTCGACCAACTGTGCGCTTCTTAAAATCCTTCAGGCTTGCAAATTCCGAGCACAACGACCTGAGCCCGCTGTTCAAGCTGTAGAACGCCACATGAGCCATCAAGTCGTTGGATTTGGCGTGATAGGTATTCCCCTCATGCGTGACATTAGAGGGCGAGGTCTGCATACGATGCATCGGCATGGATTCTCAGGATCGCGAACGTAAAGGTAATCGAGCACTTTGTCAATGCCTCCGCTGTCTGCCAGCCGAATGATGTCTCTCATGGATGTTGCGAGAGAGTGATATCTCTTCCAGCAATGGAATTTGAGAAGTCTGCCTCCACGTGCGCTCTGATCAGAGGTTCGATTGATGGTCCACTGCACAGGTCCTCCAGACCTTGATAGTATTGCCCGCGAGAGGCACATGCGCAAGTCGTAGCTTTCGTTTGGTTGGAACATGATCTCGAAATCTCGGAGAGTTTCGGATATGCTGCTACACACAGCTCGAAGAGTAGTCGGCAGTGCACGCAAATCTTGCAGGCTATGGATTGTGAGTGAACTTAAGGAGGCCGGCAGAGTCGTTACTAGCTCAGAGTGCCCATCGGCTGTGGTCCGACGTGCACCGTGAAGGAGGAGAGTTTCGTCAATAGTCAACGAAGTCAGACATGCGAAGTTGCTTAGGCCGTGCGCGAAGACTCTTGACTCATTTGTTGGATAGAGCAGTACTGTAGTCGTCCTCGAGTCACGTAAGCTGAGCGTCTTCAAGCTCGAGCGATGTTGTTTTAATGCCGCGAGAAGTGCGCATGGGTTGACAACATGACCCTGTCGTCGAGACCAGCTGATCGACACCCTGTCCAAAGCTCTACAGCTCATGATCAACCGAGAAATATCTCGCCCGTTCAAGAGACATTTCCGTAGACTCAGTTGGAAGATACTGGAGGCTGGAGGCGGATTTGGCCATGGATTGTCGTCAAACACAGATCTGATCGCAGTCCCGACGAAGGTAGTGACTCTCGGTCGCTGCATCACCGGTAACAATGCGGTTTGAAACGTAGGACCAGGGCCCTGCCGCTTGCTTCCAATAATATGAACTTCAGACAAATTCAAGTACTTGACGGTCTGCGTGCTTGGTGGTGGTGTTGAAAGCATCGAGTTGAACATTCGTGTCATATCAGGACAACTGCGGCATTGCTCCGTCTCTTCATTGTGAGGAGGATCAACGAAACATACCAGGGTCCTGATTCTGTTGGTCAGCGCGGCGAGCATGACTATTTCCCATGTCCGACAACTGCTTCTCGGGTTGAATGTAGCGTCGGCCATGGCGAATCTCACTCCCTGCCCGAAATTTTGCTCGGTCGCTTCCCAGCAGATCTCAAGTCGATCGAGCGGCATGCACGGCGACATGCCATGGACAGGGCGCAGAAGTAGAACTTGGACGAAATTTGCAAGTTGTGGGGATCTGCTCAAGGTGCAAAGCAGTTGCTGAATCTTCCCTCCAAGTTCTGGGGTTCTGATGAACTTGTACAGATGAGACTGACCGATGGGCAATAAGGTCCGAGAAGTGCGACTAATTGCTCCGAAGGTTGCGATGCGCTGCTTGTATGCTCGAGGTGACCGATCATGAAGTGGTGGCCCAGCTAGGTCGACTATGCGGTCCAACACCTCGTTTGGCAGTGATTCCAGTGCACTTAACATGGCCGGGGCACTTGACATGGCAGTGAGTATCCAGGCAGATGTTGATAGCAGAGGTCAAAGGCTCAGGCGTGTTCTCCGACACATTTAAAAGCCGAAGATCAACATTCCCAAAGGTTCCAGAAGTGTGTTGAGCACAAACATTTCAGCTGCACCCTTTCAGAGACACGAACGCAAAAGCCTACGAGCAACTGGTACATTCGTCAAGCTGCCAGGACATCCACGCTGGGTGTTACTGCTGCTACGGATTGTGGAGAGCAAGAGCGAGGGGATTCTCCCATCATGCGTTCGTGAGAGACCAGGACCAATAGCCAAGAACAGTAGGCTTGAATTTGAGCTTCTTGATGGTCTCGGAGAGCGAGAAAAATGGAAGAACGTTCCACTGATTCTCTTGCTGCATGTGAAGCTCATGTAGTCGATATCTGCCAATGCATACAACTGAGTCGAGCTGGAACCAGGGTTTGGCTGTCGCTGCCTCTGCGACTCGAGCCAGAATCGAAGGTGCCAAATGCGCAAGACGAATGCTGAGCGGACAGGCGCGTGCTGTGGAGATCAATTCTCACCGGCCCTCGACGCCGTACCAAGGCTAATAGCCACTCAAAAGCGTCCTCTTCCTCACCATATCGATATCCCTCGGATCTCTCTCCCATACCCCTAGCTCTGCCAAACTCACCCAAGACACCTCAAAGTTCTCATCGCTCCCTCCAGTTCCAACGCGCTTGGTCCGGAGCGGGACTTTGGCCGCGTGAGCGCTCAAATCCCCTCTGCCGTAAATTTCGACCAGTTTCGTGAGCTTGGGAATGAGAATCTGCTGAACGGCGCTGATCTGGTACATTGTGCAGCGCACATCGCGAAGTAGGGTGAGGGATTGTTTGTCCAGGCTTTTCAGGAAGACGTGCGTACAAGTGACGGTGTGGCTGATTTGTCGGTCAGCTGGATTTGCTGTTTGACATTGCTCGGGAGTACTCACGATGTGAAAGTGTTGCTGCCATAAACAATTGCAAGAGCTTCGGTGCGCACTTGCTGATTGACTGCGGCTAATGCTGGAAGTCGTGGGAGAACTGCTTCATGATCTTGATACGCGGGGTCGTTCTGTTGATAAGGAGACTTGGCTTGGCCAACGGTCCTGGAAAGGCTGATGAGTTGATTGTGGGCGATCACAAGCTCGAATACGCGGTTGCGCAGCTCAGCAGGGAGATGCAAGAAGCCTGTCATGTCGATGCCGAAAAGTGTGTTTGTTTGCTGAAGTGGCAGTTCCTGCGAAGTCTTGTTGTGAGGGACGTGGCGTGGGTCTTGTTCGTGGTCGGGCGATGTCGGAGCCCCGAAATCGGTCGTCTGCTGAGACGTCACGCACGCCTGCTGCAAGCCACGAAAAGTGCAGGTAACGGTGCGTAGAAGCTATCCGCCTGTAAGCGTATTAGTGATACAGAATACAAGTCTCTCCATGGCGGCCCAATAGTTTGACTGTGGCTTCTCCGTGACGAGTGGCCTGACTCCGACACAAACAACAAGAGCATCTGATACCTGGCTACGTGTAAAGCTCGTCGTCCTCACGTTCGATGTGTGTGCCAGCAGGATGCCTTCTTCTCTTGGCTGCTTTGCCTTGACCTGCAGCCCAGCCGCCACGTATGCCATCGTAGTCATCGACATTGTTCCAGCTGATCCAGACATCGTCCGCTTCTCCCTCGACAGTGATTGGAACGAGTGCTACGTCCCGGCGAAGCCCTTCTGCATTGCGTGCATTCAAGTCTTGCAGTGCTCGGTGCACGAATCCCATGTGACTTAGCTTGCTGGAGAGTCGGACTGATCCTGGCTCCAGAGATCTCAAGTACTCTCTGGGCAACTGGCGTAGGAACTACAAGATGTCAACTGTGTGCAGCTCCCACCAGTGACCGTTCTCGTCATACCTTGATCAACGGTGTGTGGAAGATGCATTCAAATGTGTTTTCACTGTAGTACACACGCAGGGCTTCCTGTTGATAGTGAAATACTGTTTCTGCTGGCGCACCCGAAAGGCAGGACATCTTGCTCACGTCTGGTTCTTTGATATAAGGCCACTGCAGCGAAAGCTCGATTGGCAGATCAGATGTTGTGATTGCTGCAATCTCCGCGTCTATTTCTGCAGATCGAGTGAAGCGAGACTCTACGCGATTCATGGTGTCAACTTCAACATCCATTGGCGTGGGTTGAGCGGCATCCGCAGTGGGTTGAACTGATGAGCTGCCGAAAACGATCTGCACAGGTGGGCCTTCGGACGATGGGTTGTTGCTAGCTGGTTGTTGGAGCTCTCTACTCGCGCTGGAATTGTTCTCTGACCGTGTAGATATGGCAATTCCATCTCCTCCGAGGTGCGGCCTTTGCCTCATGCGTTCATCTTTGTGATTTGAAGGGGTTGGGGCTTTCGGCGCATGAGTTCTCAGACTTCCTGTGCCAGTCCGAGCGGCGTGGCGGCCAGTATGCGGAAGGGAGCGCTTGCGGTAATTCTCGGTCGAGGCGCTGCGAGCGGACAACGTGGCCTCCCGCATCGTCTCGAGACCGAGCTCCGCCCAGTCCTCGTTGTCCGTTTCGCCATCGTTCGTGTCGGAATCTCTATCCAGGTCGTTATCGAGCGACATCTTCTCATCAAAGCGTCGTTTCTTGCGTCCGGTGTGCATGTGGCCAATTTTGCGGCTGATGGCATCTGCCTGCGCCATCATGAGAGCCGCTGGTGGAGTCGGCATTTTGCCTGTGGATCGGTCTGTCAGTTGGCGGATGTTGACGAGCGGAAGAAGTCACATTTCCGTTGCGGAGGGAGGTTTCAGCAAGCGGCAGTCGCGACTGTAGAAAAGTCTCCACACACCTGCAAGCACCCGACGCGAAAAAACGCGTAAAGCAAACAAGTCACATTTTCCTACAGCAAGAGCACTCGGCTCGCTTGCTGACTCCAAACGCCACGCTAAACCTCGTCATGTTCATCTCAGTCGTGCTTCATCATCGCGCAACGCGTGATATCCTCGTCCTCATCCAAGCGTCTTCATTTTCTTCTTCTTCCCCGCCTTCTCGCCGTTCTTCTTCTGCGAGAACTCCCGCCAACTTCCAATGCGCTGATCTCTCGTCTTCTCCCAATCCTGTTCGTGCTCCCGCTTTCGCTTGCGTTCTGCCAGCTCAGCTTCTTCCTGCTTCTTCTGACGCCCCTCATCTTGCATCTGCGCCTTCAGCTGTCGTTGCCGGCGGAGCTCGTTATCTGCCAGAACCCATTTCACTTTGTCCTTCCATGCCTTCATGAAATCAATGTCTGGATCTTTCACCTCCTCGCTATCGACTGTGAGCTTCTTCTCGCGAATCAGAAGCATTCGGGCATCGGCGATCGCCTCGTCGAGCTTCGCACGTTCCTTTTCGTCGAGGAGCGCTTGGTAAGCTTTGGCCAATCGGTCGAAGGCGTCTTGCGCGTAGGGGTTTTTGGTTTTGTCAGGATGTATCAGAAGCGACTTCTTCCTGTACGTCTTCTTGATGTCCTCGTCCGGCACGCCTGGCTGGAGGTCGAGTACATCGTATGCGTTGGCGCGAAAAGCGTTCTTGATGCGCTCGATCTCTGAGTCCTATTGCTTGTCAGTACACCAGATTCGTAGTGAGCTGGACGTCAAGTAACAGCGTCATGGCTGGACTAATTAGCCCCTCTGTGGTCTTTGCGAACGTACCTTGTCAAATTCCTTCGAGTCTTTCTCCAGGTTGGCGAGAAAGGCAGCATCTTCCAACTCCTGCTGCTTCTCAAGCTCTTTCAGACTCTTCTCTGGCTCCGGTCCTTTCGTCTCCGACATGGTGGACGTGCTGGGCTAGATGCTGAAGTGATTGTGCGAATCAGAGAGTGTTCTTCGAGGTTGCGCTGGAGGCGAGAGCTCGACTACAAGGGTTCGCGCTAGCGCAAACTCTAATTGCGATTGCGGATTTTTCGGACATAACTTTCTCTGTCCCAAGCGATTTCTGCTGTACGATCAGGCCTCTGTTCGAGGGCACGCGACTTGACGCCACGCTGAGTGCAGGCAGCTTGGTGCTCACGACTGCCACTGCGGGACTATGGCACCTATACTCACCGGGCGCACGAAGCCCACCAAGCCCAAGAAGCAAGCTCGAGGGCAGAAGAGGAAGAGAGATGATGTCGATGTCGAGACTCTGGAGGCTGCTGTCAAGGAACTGGATCCCAAAAGCAGCAAAATCGAGACCTTCGCCGATCTACCGCTGTCCGAACCGACGAAAGCTGGTCTGAAATCATCTCACTTCAGCACACTCACCGATATCCAGTCGAAGGCGATTCCGTTGGCATTGAAAGGGCGCGATATCCTTGGAGCTGCGAAGACAGGTAGTGGAAAGACACTGGCATTCATTGTCCCCGTTCTCGAGAACCTGTACAGAGCGCAATGTGTCGGAGCCGATGCAGGGCTGGGTGCCCTTATCATCACTCCCACGAGAGAGCTCGCGATCCAGATCTTCGAGGTGCTTCGGAAAGTGGGAGGGAAAGGACATCTCTTCTCAGCTGGGCTGGTAATCGGAGGAAAGAGCGTTAGAGATGAGGCGGATGCTATGTTGAGGATGAACATTCTGGTCTGTACGCCTGGGCGGATAAAGCAGCACCTGGAGCAGACAGCAGGATTCAATGCGGATAACCTGCAGATGCTGGTCCTTGATGAGGCGGACAGAATTATGGATATGGGCTTCCAGCATGCCGTCGATGCGATCATCGAATATCTGCCAAAGCAGCGGCAGACCATGTTATTCAGCGCAACGCAGAGCAAGAGAGTGTCTGATCTGGCACGGTTGTCGCTCAAGGATCCAGAGTACATTTCTGTTCATGAGGCAGCCTCCTCAGCCACTCCAGCGACGCTTCAGCAGAACTACGTTATTACACCCCTCTCCGAGAAATTGGACACGCTCTGGTCATTCATACAATCAGCGAAGAAAAGCAAGATCATTGTGTTCCTGTCCGCGACAAAGCAGGTACGTTTTGTATACCAAGCCTTCCGGCACATGCAGCCTGGTATTCCACTTCTGCATCTCTACGGAAGAATGAAAGAGACGACGCGTTTGGAGACCACTGAGAAGTTCTCGAGGGCCAAGCATAGCTGTCTCTTCACCACCGATGTTGTTGCGCGAGGACTGGACTTTCCGGCTGTTGATTGGGTAGTGCAAGTTGACTGCCCGGAAGATGCAGACACCTACATTCACCGCGTCGGACGTACAGCACGATACGAGCGGAATGGACGTGCAGTGCTCTTCCTGGACCCCAGCGAGGAGGAAGGCATGCTCACTCGACTGGAACAAAAGAAGGTGCCAATTGAGCGCATCAACGTAAAACAAAAGAAGCAGCAAAGTATCAAAGACCAGTTGCAAAACATGTGCTTCCAAGATCCGCATCTCAAGCAGTTGGCTATGAAGGCATTCGTGGCGTATGTCAAAAGTATACACATTCAGAAGGACAAGGAAACGTTCAACCTGCAAAACTATAAGCTTGACGAGTGGGCGACCAGTATGGGTCTTCTGAATGCTCCACGAATCAAATTCCTCAAAGCCGACCCCGAAGAACAGAAACGCAAGAAGAACGAATCGCGGCAAGCCAGAATTCAAAGCGAGGATGAGGATGAGGACTCCGATGATGAGGAGGATCACAAAGCGAAGAAGAAGGATGGCGTTCGAACCAAATATGATCGCATGTTCGAGCGGCAGAACCAGGACATCTTGGCAGAGCATACTCGCAAGCTTCTGCGCGACGACGACTTTGATATCAACAGGCTGGACGGAGAACAATTATCAGACGACGATCTGTTTGCTGTCAAGAAACGTATACCAGTAGACGCAGACGAGTCGGACGCTGCTTCTTCGACTGATGAGGAGGAAGAGGACGTCGCGGGAGTGAGAAAGGTCAACATTCCAGGTGCCAAGAATCCAATCGTACTGGACTCTAAGCGTCGTGAGAAACTTCTCAAATCAAAGAAGAAGCTCACGAAACTCAAAGACAAGGGTCAAAAGCTGGTCTTCGATGATGAGGGTAATGCTCATCAACTCTACGAGCTTGAGAATGAGGAAGATTTCCGTGCCAAGGGTGAAGCCGAGGAGCAACGGAAACGCTTCTTGGAGAAGGAGGCAGAACGTGCTGCTCAGGCGGATGTCGAGGATAAGGCGCTTGCGAAGGAGAAGAGGAGAGCCAAGAGGGAGAAGAGGAAGGAGAAGGAGAAGGCTGCAGCGATTGGAGCACAGAGTGATGATGATGAAAGTGATGATGGAGGGGCTCCGCTGGAGGACGCGAGGGATGATTTTGCCAAATTCCTCGGTGATATTCAGTCGAGCGGAGGTGAGAGCGAGGACGAAAGCGATGCGGAAAGTGAGCGGCCGCAGAAGAAGCCTAAGTGGTTCCAAGAGAAGGGACGTCGGAAAGACCTCGATGATCAAGAGATGGAGATTGAGTCGTTCGGAGACCTGGAAGCTGCTGCTGCTGCTGCTCTTCAAGGATGATACTAAGATCAGCTCGCAGAGATACTGGGCGCCGATTGTTCACACACACCTAATGTATAGACCTAGGCAGACGGCTACAGGCAAGGAGGAGAAAAGCGCTGTCAAACAGATCTCCGAGATCCGTTTGCATTTTCTCCACTTTCACAACTCAGTACGATGCTCCTTCTGCAACCTGCTCCAGTGTCAAGGACTTCCCGTACGCGAAGCACGGCCTCTCAACAAATGCGAATATCATCTCCATGCCGCTCCAGTTCTTCTGACTGCCGAATCAGCTCTCGGCAAAAGATATGTCATCGGATCTGTCGTTCAATCAGGTGTCTTTGCTATCTGCTAATCTTACTCTCACGCATATCCAAACGAATGTGTCTCTTATCGCGAAGGGAGATCCCTACAAGCACTCCCACTACCAAGTCATCTCCAACATCAATGCCACCAAGCCAAACCAAACTATCCAACATCCACATTACGCCGAAACTCTGGCCATCCACCGCACAATTCCAACTTTTTCAATTTGCTTGCAGCGAATAATTCTTCCCAAACAAAAGCAAAATCCACGATCTGGGGTCAGCCCCAGAGCACAGCACCTTTACCTGTTTTTTTTTAGGCAATTGCAATCGCAACGCCTTCCATCACAACAGAGCACCCCTCAAAGCCCCAACAACCCTCCCAGACCTAATCCCAATAACCCGCCACCCCCAGCAGTAGCAGTGGGCGGTGCGGCGCCTACGACATAAGCAGCCGTATATCCAGACATTGCATACGGGCACCTCGAACCACCACCCACGATCTCCATACACAAACCCGAAGTGTAATACAATCCAGTGCAAGTCCCAGTACATTGAGCAATGCAAGATGCCAAATTCGTGGTTGCAGCTCCAGTCCCGGAGTACGTCGCTGTAGCTCCACAGTGCGCGGCATTGCAAGTCATTTCAAATGCTCGGTTGTTGAGAGTTGTGATGGCGGAATTTGCTGCTGGGCAGACTGTTGGTGCAGGAGTAGGCTGGACAGATGGGCCAGGAGATTGGGGCGGACTGGCTGCAATGGTAGAGGTGAGTACTGCCGGAATTCTTGAGGTCGTGAAGGACGATGGCTGAGTTGCAGACGACGTGGGAAGTGGTAAAGATGCGACGGATACTGGGCTAGATGCGCTGACCGCTGCAGAAACTGCTAGTGAAGCTGAAATGGCCGGTTGCAAAGAGGACGCAACAGATGCGCTGACCGCCGCAGAGCCTGACAATGCAGCTGGATCAACTGATTGCGAAGAGGACGCAACTTCTACCGAAGCAGTCGCGCTCGCCGTCACGGAGTCTGATGCGGAGATTGAAATTGGAGTAGCAGGTTGCGGAGTTGAAGCAGCTGACACTGAATCAGATAGGCTAGCCGCCGGAGAGTCTGATGTTGGAGCTGAAAGATCCGTTTCAGAAGACGAGGCAACTGGTACTGCGACAGATACGCTAGGGACCGAAGTGTCTGGGTCTGTGACTGGCACTTGTGAAGAAGACACAACGTTTGTCGAGCTCAGTGTGTCCGCTGGAGACTCTGGGATCAAGGTCGGATCAGCCGCTTCCGAAGAGAATGTACCAAGCGTCGAGCTCAATATCTCCGTCGAAGAGTCTGAAATCGAGGCTGAACCAGCCACCTGTGAAGAAGACACAACGATCGTCGAGCTCAGTGATTCCGCCAGAGAATCTGATGTTGAGACCTCGACGTCAACCTGGAAAGAGGACGCAATGAGTGTCGAGCTCGATATGACGGCCGGAGAGTCCGAAATCGTAACTGGGGTAGCCGCCAGTTCAGAAGACACAGCAATCGTTGAGCTCAATATTTCCGCCGAAGAGTCTGAAATCGAGGCTGGAACAGCTGCTTGCGAAGACGAGGCATCAGTGGTCGAGCTGAGTACTGCTGTTTCGGAATCTGGAATCGAGACCGGAATAGCCGTCTGTGAGGAAGATTCAACAGATGTCGAGCTCACTATTTCCGCTGGATAGTCTGATGTCGAGACTGAGATATCAGCTTGTGAAGATGAAGCAACAATTGTCGAGCTCAATGTTGCCGTGGGAGAGTCTGGAACCGAGACTGGAACAGCGGCTTGCGAAGAGGAAGCACCAAGTGTCGAGCTCAAAGTCGCCACAGGCAATGAGTCCACCGTCGTCGTAACTTGCACCTCACTTCCGCTCCCCACACTCGACACCTCGATCTCAAGCGGCGTGGTTGTCGCAGGCACAGCAGAAGCACCAGGCTGCCCCGTAAAATTATATCCCGTAACCCTCACATAAGCCGATGCCTCATCTCCCCAATCTCTCCAACCAGGCTGTGTCAGCAGTGGCGCAACCATTAAGATCCTGCAATAGCATTCTCCATCGTTATATCCGAAACCCAGACACTCGGAGCCAAATGTCTCACACGATAGAGCACAGTCATCTATGCCGCACTTGCCCCATTTCGTATCACCGCCGCTCTCTGAGCTGTCGATCAGCATGTAAGGGCCGCCATAATTGTAGACATCACCGTTCCAGAATGTAGTTTTAATTGGGCAAGCGGCATCGGACAATACGCCAGTTGCGGGCTCACAGGTGGGAGTAGCGGGAGCATTGGTGACAGTGGCTCGCCAGTTGGGAGGAGCTCCAGATTGCTGCGCGGAGGTAGAACTGATCCAGGCCAGGGGCAGAAGTGTGTAGTCCATATTGATGTTAAATTAGGAGGCGATGGCCTGTACCAAGGGTATCCAGGATGCTGTACGCCTCAAAGGTAGCGCCCTGGTCGAGCTGGAAGTACTGCGCAGTGAGTCCATTTAGGCACGTGCGTGTGCATGCATTCTTCTACTGCGCATAACACGAAAGTCGGGCTCGGCTGGCCGTGAGAATTTCACGCAAGGGATATGAGCTTGATCTGCCCGGCAAGGCCGATATGTTATGCGAGCACTGTGCCGATTCCGTGTGCGCATAACATCAGGTGCTTGCTGGGTAGCATCCCATAGTGCCGGTATAATACCCACTGTCGCTATTGGCAGGTCAGAGCGTCGTGTCGCATACCGAAGTTGATGAATGCCTGTGATACCGTCAGTCTCCATAGAGACGAATCTTGGCTACAGAATATGGCGTCAGGGAATGTCATCTTGTGTCTGCAACCTATCTCGGAGTCCAAGAAGGCATCATCTCCATTGGGCGCTGCCTCAAACGCCGCTGACCGGAGATGAAAAAGCAGAGCGCATACGCTACCACAAAGCAATACAGTAAGAATGTCCAATTCATATCTGCAGCGCTTGAACTGTGCATGGTAGGCCAAAAAGACCAGAAGAATGCCCAGACCGAGTACACTACTGCGATGACGTTGATCCAGATGCCAGCTCTACCAAGTGACCAGCTAGCGCGTGGAAGGCCGTCTCCTTGAAGACGTCTGCGGATCAAACACCCAATCACAATAATGTAGGTCGTCATTAGCGTTGCGACTGCCAATCCCATCATAGTGTTGAGCGGTGCGGTCGTTGCGATAGTGACGAGAATCAGGACGAGGGCGAAGAATACGCTCGAATAGATGGCGTTGAGGGGGACCTGCAGTCTTGCGTCGACTCTTCCGAACCACGGTGCCGAATAGAGTGCTCTGTCTCGCCTAAACAGCGTCAGCTTTGTAGCTTGAATCGCTGTCCACCAGAACTGACCCAAACGCGAAGAGATGGCGAGACGTCGTCACCATAGTGCTGACAGCAATCATAAAGAGTAGAGACATGACCACGACCAAGAAGCCGGTGGTGGCAGCGTCAGATTGTAGCGCCATAGACAGAACTGAAGCAAAAGGAACAATGGCTTCTGCTGTGGCCTCGAGATCCGAGACGTTGAATGCATAGGTCAGTAGTAGCAGAAGGGTGCCTGGAAGGTTCGCAAGATAGCTCCAGAGCATGCATCTTGGAAGCACAGTCTCTGGCTCCTCGACTTCTTCCGAGATGTGTACTGTGGCCTCACTTCCCAGGACTGTGAAGAAAGCAGGAATTTGTCCTACTAACACACCAAGGACTGGAGACGGCTAGCCACCACCATTGTCCGTGCAGTTGAAGAACACATCCGCGACAGATTGCTTCGGGGCCAGAACCCAGAGGGAAACGACGATAGGCACCAGAGCGTAGACATGGCAGATGGCAAACAACCCCTCGGCGACCGAGAGATGGCTCGCTGCAAGCGCGTTGAACGCTGACACAACGATGAGGACTCCAAAAGTGAGGAGGTTGCGCTGCCAGCGTGTGGGAGAAAAGTCATCATGGTTGATCTCGACAAGTGCCAGAACGACGCCGGCCAAGATGTAGCATATTGCAGTGAGTCTTGCCTGCCATCCGATCGAGCAGAGCGATCCGGTGAAATACGAGAGGACCTGTTGGTATCGTGGAGGAGCGAATGCTGACGCCCAGCGGTACTGCCCACCCGTGGGAACCATAGAGCTAATCTCTGCCAGGGAAAGCACGATGAACAGTTGGCCGACGTGCGCGAAGATGGTAGACCAGACGAGACCGGGCAGGCCGCCATTGAAGAGTATGTTGGAGTTGCCAGAAAGGAGCACCTCCTAGGTGCCGGTGACGAGAGATGTGAAGCCGATGGTGGAGACCAGGCGGAAGCTGTGCTGCATCTCTCGCTTGCGACTGACTGGTTCAACGGGGCGGAAGTCCATGGAGAGGCGCGCAGGACGACGCTTGGTAGAGAAGATGAACTCATCACTGCTTGGAGTATCTGGTGTCCGTGGCTTAGGGAAGTCGCTGGCGTGGGCGATCGGAAGATGAGGGCGTAGGGTGAGTGTTGAAGCTTCTGATTGCATGTTGAAGTATGTGGGTGTGGGCGTGATATCGATGAGGGAGGAAAAGCAAGTAGTTTCAGAGCTGTATGGAGACAGCTAAGTCTCACAGCTGCCGCGTCTTCGTGACTTCCCGCAACGCGAATGCAACGCTGCTGCCTCTTCGGCTTCGATGGCGACCGGATTGTTGCGAGTCGGCATCTCCAAGCACTCCATCCACGTTCGTCTTCCCGTGCAGACGCCTACACTCTGGCCGAGAACACGCATCCACCTTGAGCGCGATGCGTCTCCATGTCCGGACTCGATATTCCTAGCGCAGCCGCATACATCGCCATCACCTGCTCCGTTGCTATTGTCTGGACCACCTTCACCTTCCTCATCCGCGCCTTTCTGCGTACGAAAGTCAACGGTCCCTTTGGTGCTGATGACACTGCATGTTTGGCTGCGACTGTAGGTGTCGCGCTTTGAGTTTCGTTGGTGATGAGTTGTTGACACCAGCAGATTCTCGGCGTCGCGCAATCTATTACGACACTCGTAGCGATCCACTTTGGCCTGGGATATCATGCTTACGCCCTCTCTATGTTCAGTTTCGAACGAGTTTTCCTCTGCACCTGGATCGCAGAACAGCTGTACATCCTGTCCGAGGGAGCTGCGCTGCTCTCAATCTCTTTCCTGATCCGGCGTATAACTTTGTTGCGAGAGCACCATCGGATCTGCTTTGCAGTCGCATACCTGACAGTGATCTGGGCACTGTCTTCATGGCTACTCCACATATTCAAATGCCCCCTTCCTCGACCATGGGACATTCTGAATGCGGATAAGTGCCTCGATCGTATTGCGGTCCGTTTAAGCATTACGATTTCCGCAGCGCTCCTGGAAGTGACGAACGTCATCATCGCGATATACGTCGTCTAGAATGTGCAGATGTCGCGGCGCCCCAAGATTGCTGTCATGGTCGCTTTCCTGCTGCGGCTCCTGGTACTTCCAACCATGTTCCTCCGGTTTAACTTCTTCGCCAGTGCGGTGCATGAGGACGATGAGACCTACGTTCGAACAGACGTGACGATAATCACCCAGGTCGCAATGCATTTGAGCATCATCTTGGCCACAGTCCCCTGCGCGAAGCCCTTCTTCGTAATCTTTGAAGGCGGAGTTTTCCAGTCTCCAAACGATCAGCGCAGCAGGAGAACTATCTCGAACCTCAGCAGCGGGTGGAGGACACGAACCGGCGATGGCCAGCGATCAGACTCCAATGCGGCGCTGGAACGAGCAGAGCGAGCGGCCTTGCGACCGACCTAGGATCGACGTAGCACATTCGCGAGACCGAGCATATCAGCACTTGAGTCTCCACTGAGAGCTCCAACGTTGGAGCGTCCGTTGAAGAGAGTATCTCTGAAGCTCCCGCCACTGACGTGGAATCGGAGGAGGACATTCGCGAAGGAAGAAGGTCCTGCCCCACCACCGGATGCATGCCAGTATCATAAGCCATCCACGTCGAGCAAGTCCGATCCGCGGTCCAAGTCCTCCAGCAGCCATAGCTCGCGCACACGCTTGCAGCAGTATGCTGCTGAGAATTCATCAAGACCTGAATACATGAATCGAGGGGAAAGTCACAATTCTGACCGGACCATTGGCCGCGATAGCCAACGCACCAGGAACATTCTGGCACCCATCTTGCGTCCAGACCAAGGAGAGACAACCACGATTATCGCGCATGACCCAGATGCTTTGAGAACGGGGTTGGCGGCCACCACCGCCGATCGCGAGGGCGTGCATGAAGAACTAGCAAGTGGGGTCATTGAGCTGAGGACGGAAGTGGTCGTCACCTATGAAGATGCCGAGCATTCGAAGCCACAGCACAAGAATTCTGTAGGGCCAAAAGAGCGGAAACCTGTTGCATCGTAAAGTCTTGACCATCTAGCAAGTGTTTATACGTACTCAGCACATGTACAGGATGTCGCATTTCGCGAGTTGTTCGCTCCCGGCAATCTCATTACTTCATTCATGGTCCGGACTGACCGACTGTCTTCATGTTCATGTATCCTTGTCGCTCCCAGCGTCGTCGTCCTCTCCTTCCACCTGCACTCTCTTCCCTTCAACACCCTTCTCCACCTCTGCAACCAGAGTCTCCATGTACTCCTTATCCTTACCCACCAACGTCACAGTATTCCGACTCTTACCCCATCGTGGATAACTCCCCACCTTGATCCCCTTACTCTCCACCTTTTGAGACAGCTCTGTCAAGTATTCCGCCACCGCACTCTCTGCCAGCGGCGTCGAGAACAATATCCTATGCACTCCCTTCCCCTCAGGATCCACAAGTCGAGGCAAAATCCTCGGCTTCAGCCCTTGCAATAACTTCTCAAACAGCCTCGGAATCCCAGGCAAAATATGCACATTCCCATTAACAACCGAAATCGGAACCCACAGATCCTCTGCCGTAAAAACGACCTGATCCTCATCCGGCAAGTTCTTATCATACGGCAACTGTATCATCCTCAACTTCGCCCTTCGTGCAGGAGAATCCACATCCCAGCTAAAATCTTTCTGACTCGGATGTGGTCGTGATAGAGCTTTCATTTTCGTGTAAGCTTCTTCGTGGAGGACTAAGGGGAGATCGAAAGCTTTGGCGATGGAAGCGTAGGTGATATCGTCGTGGGTGGGACCAATTCCACCGGATGTGACGACGAAGTCGTAGGTGTGGGACATGCGGCGGGCGGCTTCCACGATTTCGGATTCATCGTCGGCGATGACTTCGACGCGTTTGAGGGCTATGCCGAGGGAGAAGCAGAATTTGGCCAAGTAGGCGGAGTTGGTGTCGACGGTCTGTGGGGGGTTCACGAGGGCTGGGTTTAGCGGGGGGTCTTTTCAGCTTGGGTCGAGGCTGGTTTTTGGGATGGAGGATGAAAGACTCACCTTGCCGCCGAGGACTTCATCGCCTATGATTAGGCATGCTGCTGTGTGGATTTGTCGTTTGCTTCGTTCGGCTGCCATTGTGCGTGACGTCAAGATGGAGCTGGTTGTTCGAGCTGCGGAGTTGTGGAGGTAGTTGGGGAGTGGTCGCGAAAGATGGCGAGCGAGTTGATTTACTCGAGAAAACATGGATGGGGAGAGAGTCCAATGGCAAAGATGTGAAGTGAAGGAAAGGAGAGCGACATTGCGAAAGGAAGGTCCAAAGTGATGTTGTCACTGTTTACGGGTTTAACGTGGGGTCGATCTTCGAGCCTCACTCACGCCCACCTGCATCGACTGGGATGACCTGCCTGGAACACACCTGCACACCTGCAGCCTTCCACTGAACGCTATTCGAGAACACGACTAACACCGCCAAAATGGTAAGCTCATACACATGGTGCTTTCATCCACGCATTCTGACAAGCACCACAGTCCTCCGAATCGCGCCTCTACACCATCTCGACCGAGACCAAAGACAAACTACGCAAATTCCGCCTAGGGACATCTCGTGCCAAAGATCCTCAAGCAGTCATATGTGCGTACTATCCAGTACACTGATCGCTCTGGAAACAAAACCAGCAGCCGTCTCTTTCTGCATCCGCGACGAGCCTCACTGATAATC